CGCTGGCGCCATCCCTGTATCTTTTAGCAGCACTGCACTTCCAGCCATGTTTGCATAGGCCTACCCATTATCGCCAAACAGTTCTTTCATCTTTCTTTTGGAACGTTATACCGTATGGACACAAAACAATTATACTATCAAATATGACGGTGTCGTTAGGAAAAATCAATAAAAATATTGATAAATATTACAGTTTGTATCTATTTGATTATTTTGTGTTAAATTATGATTCCTAACGTTCATTAACGACCTTTTTAAATAACTGGCAGAAACCAATGTAATATAATGTTATATTATATATTAATAGGCCTATATGTATATTACTTCATAACACTTGCCATATTCACAAATGTATCCTCTCGAAATTTCATTTGGATTTATAACAGTAGCAGGAATATCATACATTTTTCCAGTGCTTATTTTGATCCTAACCGCAGTATAAATGGAATTGCTCAAATCAGGCTGGCCATCATTCCATGGAATAGAATAATTAAACTCCTCTCCTGTTTCCCACTTCCCATTTGCATCAATATTTCAATCCAAACCCGCCTGGCGTGATAATCCGATCTCGTACATACCACCTGAATAGTTACGTAACCTTACGTAATCGAGTACGGCGGTCAATTCATCGACGGTTGCGAAGCTTGCAAGGTAACCACCTGATGATTCACAGATTTCTTTTAAATCATACCAGATTTCTTTTTGCTCGAGTTGGTAAAACGTATACTCCGACCTCTTATACTGGAACGTAAGAATGCCTAAAGAGGGATAAATTCAGAAATTCAATAATATATTTGCAAAGGAATATTCATATTCATAAAATACAATCAACAATCTTTACATACATTTTCTATGTATTAGAAGGTTACCAAAACGATTGAGTGACGGTGTGTCGCATTTAAATAGCTGTGGGAAAAATATCAATATCAACCTGCTGCTCCAGGATTTTTTTTTACTAAAGCTTTGCGATGTTCCCATGGATTGAAACGTATACTATTAACTAGAAATAGTTAAAAAAAAGTGACTATTTCTTATGATCATAGCCGTACTCTTATACACATCTAGATGTGTCTATTGTAAAGCTCTGCTTGTTTGTGGTTGCCCTTTCCAATTCCAATTTTATATATCTGTACTGTTTATCTATGCTTTGAAAAGATTTGGAATAAATTTATTTTGAATTGAATTGAACAAGGTTGATATCCAAAAGTTTAAATGGTTCCCCTCTATATCCCTAAAGGAACACTTCATACCTTTTAACCTCGACACAATTAGACCCAGAGACGTCAGAAAAATTCTCAATAACAAGAAACCAACTTCAGCCCCGGGGGAAGATGGCATCTTATATGGACTCTTACGAAAACTTCCAGCAACACATCATCTCCTTGCCACATTATTTAGTAAACAGCTTATCAGCGGTGATCCTCCAGTAAGATGGTCACGCAGTGTCGTCACCCTTATCCATAAGGATGGTGACACTAGCAAACCAGGTAACTTTCGGATGATTTTTTTAACATCTTGTATCGGTAAATTATTCCATCAAATTGTTGCCGAACGAATAGCTAACTTTATGACAAGCAATATGTATATTGATCCTGAAACACAAAAAGCGTTCCTGAATGGGATAAATGGATGCGTAGAACATTCAATTGTAATAAATGAATCGCTAGCGCACGCAAGAAACAAGAAAAGGACAATTCACTTAACTTTTTTCGATTTAGCCGACGCCTTTGGCTCAGTTGAACTTAATAAACTACACGATGGAGAGATATAGAATCCCACCTACCATCCACAGTTATATAACTACACTTTATTCAAGACTCAGTGGAAAAATCCGTGGTCCTGCTTGGCAGTCATCGGATTTTAATTTCTGTCGGGGGGTGTTCCAGGGTGACCCCCTGTCACCTATAATTTTCTTAATGGCTTTCAACCCGATTATACACTACCTGAAAACCAAGGAGTCCGAGCATGGCTACGAACTCGAAGGAAAGAAATTTACCACTCTTCCATTTGCAGACGATTTTTGTCAAATCACTAAAGACAAAAGGACACATCAGAAACTAATGAATGAGATAATAGATATTACACAATCTATGCATCTTTCTCTTAGCCTGTTAAGTGTAAAACCATGTCCATCAGAGGCAGTAAGCCTGATGAATGTAACTTTTCATTGGGGGCTAATATTCTTAAGTCCTTGAAGAGTACACCCGAGAAATTCCTCGGTAGTATGTTGTTTTTTAGTGGTAAAACTAAGGAAACCTTTGAATTCATAAAGAATAAAATTAATGGAACAATTAACAACATCATTAAAAGCCTTATTAGAAACGAATTCAAATTGCGTATTATATATACAATACGCTACACCATCATTTCGCTATATGTTAACAGTGCATGAGTTAACTGACTGTCAACTTCAAACGCTTGACCACATACACACAAATGCAATTAAAAAATAGATTGGATTGGCCACAAACGGACCTACACCAGCATTCATACATAGTCCAGAGGGATTAAATTTCCCCCGAATATCTGACGTGTATCTGGAATCACATGTCCTAGCATATTCTCTTTCCCTGGTTAAGGCTGACAGTCGGGTAACCCATGCTCTGAAATGTAAATTAGAAAGAAAAACAAGATGGTCAAGAAAAATGCAAAAAATGGCTCTATAAAATGGTAGTCCACGATAGATCAGTTTCTAGGGCTGAATCGAATACCAATTGGTCAAAAATTAAGCCCCATATAAAAGAAGCTATATTTGAAAATAGGATTGAATTCTAGCATCAATATGTGGAACCCCTAAGGAAACAAGGTGACCTACTAAAGCTTACACACCTTATCTCTGCAGATCTTACATGGAGATCTTTGATTTATAATTTACCTAAGGGGGTATTGAGTTTCGCAGTGAGGGCATCCATAGATTTTTTACCCACTCTAAGTAATCTCCGTACATGGGGTAAGCGAACAAATGATAAGTGTAATATGTGTCAAAATAAGTAAACTCTTGTGCATGTCCTAAATTCATGCCCTGTATCACTTGAACAGGGCCGATTTACGTGGCGGCACGATTCTATAATACATTTGCTGATTAAATATATTCTGAAATATAGGAGGGTTGACAATGTTTATGCAGTCGTAAAAGGCTACTCCATAGCAGGGGGAACAGTTCCCCCAAGCGTCCTCATAACGAAGGCAAAACCAGATATTGTTATCCTAACAGGTAATAATATCGAACTTTTGGAATTAACCGTACCATTTGAAATGAATATCGATAAAGCGCATCGACGAAAAGAGGATAAATACAAAGATACCATCAATGATATTGTCAGAAATGGGTTTAGAGGTAAACTTACCTGCCTTGAAATAGGAAGTAGAGGTCTCATTACTCCAGAAAATGAATGTAGAATAAAAGATATTTTTTTAGATAACTTCAAGAAACGCAAAAGCAATAATTAAGGAAATTTCAGAAACTGCTCTCGTTACCAGCTACACGATTTGGAATGCTAGGTTTAACCCTGCATGGGAAAATATTACACTAATGTAATAGTTCTTGGATGGCTCTAATCTATCTGGCCGTTCGCCCTTTAATCTGAATCTGATAAATGTTTTTTTTTCTTTTGATGTTTCGTTTAATATGTATTTGTTGTCTTCCTTCATTGGTCTGTATCTCTACAGACCCTGACCTGGATTTGATGTGTCTTCTTTTTGACTTGAGATTGAATATAGATGATTCACACATTTTGATGACTGTGTCAAAGTTTAGTGTAACTTGAGATTTCAGAATGGAAAGAAAAACGCTCAATAAAATGTTAACTGTTCTAATGTTCTCTAACTAACAAATATGATTGCAACTTCGTCAAAAATAATCATAGAAAGGATAAGAAATAATTATCACCCTTGAAATTATTGTGCAGGACCGACCAGCGATGAAAATCAAATTATGCCTGTTACATGCATGATTATTGATCGCACGCCTTCTGGTAGCTCGATCCCGCATTGTATGCTGGGAACGACAAGATGGCGATATGCTTTGTGCAACACGAGTTAATAAAGTGTGTTAATGGAAACTCTAATACTGAAGGCTATCCTGAGTTAATTGTATTACGTCTTTAACTCTAGAAGTTACAACATAAAACATGGTATCCAGAAGTGCCGGATTTGGATTTCATCGTGCTCCATTTCAGTGATAAACTCGGAATTTTGTGTATGCCTAGCGTTCGGAAACTTGTGACTGTACGTTATAGCGTTGATCGTCAAGCGTCCCCGCGATCGAGTCATTGATGTGCTGTGGATCGCGGTAAAGTCATATTACACAGTGTAGTGGGAATCGTAGCCCTTGTAGTGAGTGTAATATAGTATAAGCTTGGAGTATATTTGTAAAATAGTTGATAAGCTTAAAGTCAAGTCTAAATCTAGTATCTTTTTTTGAAGGTAACTATTAGTAATATAACTAGTTTAGATAAATAATAGAGAAATAAACATGCTTGTTGGTGATGAAAATGAGCAAACTCCACTAGATGCAGATGGTAATGTACCTCCTCAAGGTCATGGTATCAAGAATATTACGGTTCCTCTTCCTCCCAATATCACTTTAAAATGGAATATGAAAACCAATTGGTACGAGCTACTGACTGGTCTAAAAAATCAGGCGGTGGAATATCGTGTCGCTGCATTTGTCACATGTATCGGTCAGAAAGCTCTGGAAATCCACACTGATCTACCTTTTAAAACTGAGGAATATAAAGGAAATATAGATACCATATTACAATTATGGGAAGAATACTGCTGTGGGCAAACTAATGTCATATATTAGAGGTTTTGTTTTAAGAAGTGTGATCAAAATACATCTGAAACTTTTGATCAATATTTGCCAGCACAATACTTACCTGCAAATGTGGTGCAGACAAAAACCAGTAAGAAGTTGCGTATGTACAGCAATGATATGGTCCCTGTCTTGGGTACATGTAACTTAAGATTTTAAAAAATCCAAGAAATGGTAAAAGGTACTTAGTTCCTTTTTATGTCATAAGTAATCAAAAGGGCTCACTACATAAACTCCCACTTCTTGGTTCAACTACAGCACAACAAATGCAACTCATCTCAGTCAATCATGAAAACATTGCAATAGTCAACGAGTTGCAAGATGAAATGTCAAATGTCAAAGCTAAAGAAAATTTATGTCAGGAATATCGGGACGTCTTCAGTGGTCGCGGTTGTATGCCTGGTAATGTCACCCTCTATGTGGATGAAACTGTAAGACCGCACGTAGCGCCCCCACGTCGTGTACCTTTGTCGGTGCAATCGAGTTTAAAAGCAGAATTGGAGAGACTTCAAAAGGAAGGGGTAATTGAAAAGGTAGAAGAGCCACCAGATTGGTGCTCCAGCCTTTGTTGTGTAGAAAAGAGCAACGGTAAATTTTGCTTATGTATTGACCCCCAGCCTCTCAACTGCGCACTTAAACGTAGCTACTATTCTCTCCCTGTCATAGAGGATATACTTCCTGAATTGGATGGAGTGAAAGTGTTTTCCAAAGCCGATTTGAATGAAGGCTTTCTCCAGTTTAAGCTAGATAACGAGTCTACGAAACTGACTACATTCCAGTCTCTGTGGGGCCGTTGAAAATATTTGCGAATGCCTCAAGGCACAAGTCCCGCCCCCAACTTTTTCAGCAAAAACTGAATTAGTCACTGGATGGACTCAATGGCATACATATTGTCGCGGATGATGTTCTTATCACTGGATGTGGTGAAACACTTGCTGAAAC